CGGCAGTCCGCTCAGTTGCGCGTTGTCGCGGGACACGACGTAGCGCCGGTAGTTCTGATAGAAGTTGGAGAGCTCATAGTAGAGGAACACGGGGCCCTGGAAGAACTCGGACAGCGAGAAGTACCAGGCGCACTGGCAGCTAGGCGGCGGCGCGCGGCCTTCGGCGGCCGCGGCGCACGCCGAGCAATTGCCGGTGCCCGAGGTGCCAGTGTAGTCGTACTCGAGCTCCTTGATGCCGTTGGAGGTATAGTAGAGGCCCAGGCCCAGGCCGATGAAGGCCAGGCCGGCGCAGAAGAAGAGCGGCAGCGTGATGCCGGCCGACAGCAGCGGCTGCCAAGCCGGGAGGCGCTGCTGCGTGAACGCAGTGTTGTCCGGCTGGTGGGCGCCCCGCGCCGTGACGCTCCAGGTCATGGCGACCAGGGTGGGAAGGACCGACGGACCGACGGACGGAGAGTGGCTCAGGTGGGGCCTACAGCTGGGGGCCTCCCCCTCCGCGCTGAGTGAGTCCGGGGCTACACCCGGGTCGGGTTTCCCGCCGGCTCAGGTGAGTTCTTGCGCTGGTCCCGCCTCCCGTACAGTGAGTCTTAGTTCAGGTTTTTCGTGCAGTGACGAGACTCTTCAGTTCCGCCTCCGCCCAGGTTATCCGGGCCAGCCCCGCCCTGCAGGTAACCCGCAGTCGCGCTCCGCCCCTTCCGAGGTGATTCCGGCGGCTGTTCCTTTCCCTACCTGGCCAGCCCCGGCTCACGTTTCCTCTCCGTCCAAATGCCAGCTCCTCCTCCGCGAGGTTAGTGGCGGCCCCAGGCTGCCTCTGAGTGGCTCTTACCTTGTTCAGGTAACCACCTTCCCTTCCGCCTTTCAATTAACAATAGCACCTGGGCCAGTCCTTCCGAAATCATAGGAGCTGCAGCCTCCAGCAGAACATTCCACTGAGGGTTTGCACTGTGGATCCTGAAGGCGTGAAGATATCAGACTGCTAATTCTCTTTTATTTGGGGGAAAAAGTGATTCTAGATCCTCATGTCTGTTAGGTTAACTTAAGGACCCCTTTTAACTTCTGCTTCCAGCTACAAATCGTAATGCCCAGGAAATTACACAGTAGCAATGTTGTTTCAAATTCAATGCTTGCATTTAAATTCTAACATATTTTTTTAAAGGAAAAATTATATTCAGACCTGAATCCCCAGTCTGGCTGTATAACTAAGACAGATGGAAAGTTCTGTAAAATGACCCTTAAAAAAGAAAATTGAAGACCGAAGAAATTCAGAGCCTTTAAATATCTTTCTAGCTGTTGGAGAAACCACACAAGGAGAGAAATGCACTGGACTACATGTGATTTCTTTTTCTTTTCAGATTATTTGCCTGACTGGAGAAAGGCCTGCTCCAAGGGTCCCAGGAGACCTAGCTGTTATCCACAGTGAAGGACATTTGGAATGTTTGGCCAAGGAGGTAAACTACAAGGATTTATAGGGCTTACTGTAAAGGGAACCCAAATTTGCTCTGAACATTGCCTGGGATTCTGACTTTTATATCCAGGCTGGTATAATCCATATAAGGGATATCCAGTAATTTCAGCTTTGTGCTAAATCCTCCCTAAGTATTCAGATGCTCCTACCTCTCCTCCAGCTCATTAAATGCAAATAACATAAATATTTTCTGCATTACACTTCTGCACCTACCGTAATATGTTGCATTCGAGAGGCATTCAAAACCCATAGAATTTTGTTTGTTAAATTCAGCAACAGGATTTATTAATTTATTTAAGTATCTTTCACATGTGCCCTATGGTAAGCAATGTAGAAGACAGGAGAGAATTAATCTAAAAATGATCCTTGACCTCAAGGAATTTGCAGTCTGATAGGGGACATATTACTTAAGAGTAAGAAACAATCAAAAATAGCCAATAAACCAAAAAACCAAACCAGTTACTTTCAGGTAGATTCCAACTCATGGCAACCCCATGTGTTACAGAGTAGAATTTCTCAATAGGATTTTCTTGGTTGTAATCTTTATGGAATCAGATTGCCAGGACTTTCTTCCATGGTGTCCCCGGGTGGGTTCGAACTGCCAACTTTAGTAGTCCAGTGCAAACCGTTTACCCTACCCAGCTCATTGCCTTTGAGTTGATTTCAACTCATAGCGACCCTGTAGGACAGAGCAGAACTGCCCCATAGG